AACCAGTTATAGTAAGCCATTGTGTGACATGGCCTGTTGCTCACTTCCCAGTCACATTCACTTCCAATTACAGCGATGTGTCTTTCAACAAAGAAATTACACACAAGCGGCTAGCCAATACATCTCACCATATCTTTAAATGAAGAATAATGGTGAAATGATTGGGAGAGATTGCAGCAATTTTTGCACTGTTTATGTCCCTGCTGTGCCTTAATATGCTCAGCAGGCCTCCATATTTCACTGAGACAAACAGAGCTTTCAGCAGCAAGCAGAGCAGAGTTTCACGAAGGAACAACTCATTAGAAAAGGAGAAAAACCTTCACTGTAATCACTCAGCAAAGATTAAATAGACAGGTGAGGAAATGCATCGACAAAAAGGAACCTTGAAGTGATATAAAACAAAGCTGATGTTTTGGCTATCGTTTTCCTTAATATGTATGATCAAATAGCCCATATTTTGCCAATGGAAGATGCTACAGACACAAAGTGTACAGTATACCAGGATTTTATTCCAGGATTTTCATTGCTGGCTAAAAAGCGATGCCTGTCCCCTGGAGGTCAAAGGTCTTATGGTGTCACCCGGGGATGTGTCCCTCTCTGTCCCTGGTCATGACAGTTTATATGGGGTCAGTAAGGTCATTTGTCATTTCTCCACTTGGGACAGAGGTCAGCGACCCTGCAGTACATCTCAGGAACCACTCCATATCCACATTGGTCTAAAGCCATATAGCGTCATTCCCTCACTCCTCTATGCTCCATGCGTGGACAGACTCCTGCAATATTAATGGTGTGGTAATTGAACTGTTCACACACTGGCATGCATGGTAAAGCAGAGTGAAATTGAGCCAAATCTCAATTAGACAAGGTTATTATTTAATATTGGTCTGACTTCCTAATCACATTAAGGGCCTTGTTTATGTTTTCCTCCTGCTGCTGCTGAAGTTTTAATAATGAATTAACTCCTCTCACTCACAAGCATGTAGAGGAATCTGAATCTTGTCTCTGCCTCTGTTTGCCAGAGGTCAGAATGGAACCCATTGCAAATCAACAGGAAATATGATTACATAACAGTAAGTAAGTTAACTGAATGCATCCAAATAAAAGTACTTTTTATGAAATTCCAGGGGGTCTACTTCCCCTGTAGTAGTTAATATTATGATTTTTTGTATATTTTAAACAAGATATGGGTGTGTCATGGGAAATTCTTCACACAAAACATAATTGTTCGATGGACCCCTAGCACATCAGTAAAGAACTACACCCTTATGTTTTTTGTCTAGAACCAGTCTCAAGTCATTTGTAAACTAAATGAGAAATTGACTTCGCAAAAACTGAAAGGAAAGAAAATGAAAAATACATAATTACCGGCAACATAAATGCATGTTAATTGCTGTTTAATGTTAATCAATTCTCCCAATGTTTTAATTGTACTTCGGTGATTAACTGGGATTCAGTGCTGAGGCATTACCAGGAGTGTGTGTGGAGCGTGGTGCTACTGTCTTCCTACATCAATGCTCTTCAGTGAGGAGAATATTTTAATCTAGCTTGACAAGATGAGGATCTGCTTAATCCCATTACAGGCTTGCAGCACATCAAACTACAGTAGGCCTGTAGACACAGACACTCTCCTGCCTGTCTGCCTGTCGTACTGCAGAGCCTGTAGACACTCCTGCCTGTCTGCCTGTCGTACTGCAGAGCCTGTAGATATTCTCCTGCCTGTTGTCCAGCAGAGTTTTGCATGTGAAAGAGGCAGACCGCAGACAACAGAACGGCAAGATGTTAAACAGCATAGCATCTTTGAATGGCAACAGTTAAGGACACTTCACAGTCCTTCAACAGAGCTTCACCATTTTCCTTTAGCCAGCTTGCTTTGTCTATATCTTGATAATAATATCTACAATACTGTATCTTGATAATGCCTCATCTAGAAAATCATTGTTATAAAGCCTCTGAGGAAGTAGTGAATTCTACAGTGTATCAACAGACTCTTGACTTTGGTGTATAAATCAAGGTTAGGATTCCATGCCAGCCCAGATGGCTGAACTAGGAGACTGAAGGGATAGAAAGCATGCCAACCGGAACACTGTGCCAGTAACATCTCCTTATGAAGAGAGACGTGGGTGTCTTTGATTCAGCCTGGAGCCTGAATTATGACGATGGGGCTTCTCAATCAAGTGAACCAGCAGGTAGAGTGAGCATGGAGCAGACGCGACATCCCTCTCTGCCTGCCTCTTACATTTCCTCTGTTATCAGTCTTGTGCCTGGTGCTCGTTTTGAATGAGAAATGGTTTTGCACATCTTGGCAGGTAGCCCACTGTAAAGGATGAAGAGCAGTGTGAGAGCAGCACTCTACAGTATCAGTCAATCAGAGTTGAGTTTAAGGCATGGCTCTAGATTGCACATGGCCCGTGTCCCCTGTCCCTCTCCCTCCACCCCAGGACAGCTTCTGTTCCTTTTGAGCCTCGGCTAAGAGAGATCAGAGTTCATTTTGGCCTTCCCACTGTGAGTAGTTTTTAACCTCCCACTAACTTCATCAGTCTCAGATTCAAGCTATTGCTGCTGAAGGAGAGGATTAAGAACAGCCTGCGGTCTTAGAGCAGGCTTGCCTCAGGCCCACTCAACTGATTCATATAACCTGTAGCTTATACTGTATACTGGGTTAGAGCTAGACATCCCAGTCTCCCACCAGTTTAGCCCCTATGTTTTATGGACCTCCCTCAACCAGATGGCCAAGTTGGATTGGGCTAAATGCTCAACGAGGGGGAGAACAAATTAAATCAGATGGCAAGTGATCAAGCACAGTTTGAACAGAACGTAATCCATCTAAGTGGTGTTAAGTTCATAAAGGCCCTGAGAGGAACACATTACATTTTACATTTTAGTCATTTATCCAGAGCGACTTACAGTTAGTGAGTGCATACATTTTCTTTTCATACTGGCCCCCCGTGGGAAACGAAACCCACAACCCTGGCGTTGCAAGCGCCATTCTCTACCAACTGAGCTACAGGAGGCATTGTCTTGGAGGGATTGTAAAAAGCTCCCCCTTAAACTCACCAAACCTACCGACAAAGCACTGGCTAATTAGCACAGCACAGCATCCTACTTTCTGATTTGAATCTGTAATTTGCAGCATAAATCACAGTGTGTGGGAAAAGAGTGAAATGGGAGCAACAAATCAAGCCTTGGGCATTTTTCAGGTCAGGACTCATGGATCATAACAAAGCCATGTCAATCTGAGGTTGGAGGAAAAGTAAATGGCCTAGTATTGTGATTAAGAGGGGTGGGTGTATTGCACACTCTGTTGTCTGTGGCTCTGCCGGTGACTTCAGGCAGGTCAACCACTGTGTCAGAATAACCAGGATGGAGTCACAGAGGCCCCAGACAGAGTTAATACCATTAGCATGAGGCATAGGGAGAGAGGTCAGGTTTCGTGTCCATCTGAAAACAGAGCCTTGCGAAGATATGAATTAAATCAACTCTTTCACTCCTTGGTCAATTATTCAATTTCTTCTCATGAACTGCCATTTGACCTCTGTGTTTGAATTTGGTAATTGAGGGAGAAGATTTAAAAAAGAGGAGCAGTGGTTTCGGTCAGTATGATTGAAAACACACCAGTAAAAAGCTGTTTGTGAAAACTGCCGTGCCTGTTGGAGCATGGTTATCTCTTACGTCTGGTTCTCTCCGTCCTGCTGAAATAAAGAGCTTAACACACACAGCTTCCCTCTCCCAGTACAATTCCCTTTTTTGGCATTAACTGGAAGCTCCACCATCAACACGAGAAGAGACATCAGTTCCAACCAGTTGTAATTACTGGATTTGTAAGCTTGTGATGAGAAATGTTCAGCTATTTTCATTGTGGGGACTCCCCAAAGACCCATGAGCATTATAATTTGACAATTTTCGTAGTAGTGGCCGATTATTGCTTATTTTTCCATGTGGTCTGGTCTATGCTACCCTGCATTGAACTAATTGGAGTCCTGACTAGAATGACCCAATGAGCTGGGTCACTGCCAACATGAGGGAGGCTAATGAACAGATACCCCAGAGATTCTACTACAGAACAGAGGCTGGTGGGCAACAATGCCGCCGAGGTGGACATTCCTGCAGAGAGCTCTTCCCCCAAAATCCTTTGCTCTAGTCATACTGTGTAGAGCTCATTTTATTCTAAGCCACTGACCAGTTAGGTGGAGAATGACCTGTGCCCTCTGACCGTGTGACCCACTGGTTATCAGATAACATGTTATTCAGTGTGTAGAGTCGTTAATGTGTGTAGAAAAAGACTATTACTATTCTTTGGAAGAGAACTATTGCTATGTCTGAGGACCATGTGTGCAGCGTTCCTAGATCAACAGGGTTGTGTTGTGTTATCTTTTTGAATATTCAGGGAGGAGCCCACAGACATAGAACAGCAACAGCCTGACGGCAGACGCTGCAGCAGGGTTGTATCTTAATGATGTAAATCTTTCGCTCCATTGTGGAATGAATTCATAATTTTCACTTTGAAATGTGGAACATCTGCCAAGTATTAATATAACCACAGGCAGCCACATATATTTATATATTTAAACTCTTGTTCCATTGTGCATGAAATTGTGCTGCCTGTTGTGCTGCCAAGCCAACACACTCCAACAGACAATAAACAAGAAAACAATTTGTGTCTCAAGGGAACAGGGTGATATAGAGCTTTAATATGTAGATTTTTGTTTAAGCCCAGAATGTGGTCCCTGCTGATGCGAGTGACTGCTGTGCTGGAGACGTGTGTTGTGCCTGGCTAAGCATCTCTCTCAGTCACCGGGGGTTCTCTCTCTGCGTTGTGTTGCCTTGTGTGGGATTGCCTGACTGTCTGCCGTGCCTGACGCATTGGTGAATCTGGATTCATGGGAGGCCTCTCTGACTCTTTCTCTCTCTGTTGTTTGTGTTGTTCTTGAAGGTCCTTCATCTTCTGCATGACATAGATATGAACTGAGAGTGGGAAGAGTGCAGCTTGTGTCACTTCCTCCATGATGAACTCTGAGATTGTTGTCTGCTGTGGAGCGATGAGGATGAGGTCATCGATGTGGAGCCCAGGATTGGCTCTCCTAATGGGCGTGGTCACCAGTGTCTGTACCTTTCACCTCACCACTGCCATAGACATCCCACTGGAGGGTAAGTGCTCACTTTTCCCATAAAGTGCTTGGGCAGGATATCATAAAGCTTTGTAAAGTACAGTATATTGATTTTGTTCTCCAATATATGTAATGGTCAAAGCAAAGCACAGGTATTCTTTGAAATATAGCATATTTTGTAAATCTGTATCATGCCAAAATCAGTTCAATTATATTCATGGGTCGAACACATCCTTTACTGGGGTTTGGTTTCTAGTTTCATCTTGTTTAAATCAGGTTTCTTCATTCTCTTGTATTGGGGCTGTGTATCTTACAGTTTCCTTGGAAACGAGTATCAAGTTTTCTCTTCTAAATTATTCAGAAACATCTCTTAAGGGCCCGCTTACAAAGAACAGTTCAAACAGGTTTTGAAAATGCAATGCATACTTGCTGTTGATGCAGGGTAATTAATTTCATGCAATCTCCTTAAATGCAATTCACAATCCTCTGTTTTGATGTACCTACAGTACAAATGTTTCTAAAGGCCTATAACCAATAAAAAAAACAATATTATGCTTAAACTTCTGCCTGTGTTTTTGTTGTCTTCCTGCCGCCATGGATATTCTAGTTTTAGGTCACGTAAACAGTAAGTTTGCTCTGATGTGCCCTGTCCCATCCAGCATTAGTGACAGCCTGTCTGTCCTCACTTAATCTCTTGGCTCAGTGGTTGTACCATGTGGTCATCTTGTTTACGATCTGCATCTCATGTGCCATCCTCCATTTATTTACACAATCAACATCTTCGAATTGGATTGTCTTGGACGACTGTCACCCATTTAGTGGCATGTAGTTTTAACCTGCACCATTGGCCATACTGGCCTCACCTCATGCCGCTAGTTTTACCGTTGTTGACCCCTGTAGTTTTGTAGTATATTTCTAACTCATATCACAAGAAACAAGAAACAAGAAAGCATTGACAAAGCAGGGCAAGTTCAAACAGTGCTGTATGTCACTGTGAAATAGAACTGTAAGAAAAGGAACCCATTGGGCACAGACGTCATTTGAAATGACGTGAAAACAACGTTGATTCGACCAGTGTGTGCCCAGTGGGAAATACCATCATAATCGAAATGAACCATCCCATAACATCCCATAACACCTTATAGAGTGTGAGAGATTATATCATCAGAAACCTGCAGTAGGTCTAGGGGAGTTTTCATAAAGTGTTGTCCTTGTTGTCTGTTTTCCAGTTGAGCAGCTACCCACCATCACAGAGGCGTCCCCCAGTTCTCTGATCGCCTTCCCCTTCGATGAGAGCTTCCCCATGACGTGTGAAGCCAAAGGGAACCCCGAGCCAGAGTGAGTTCTGAGTGTCCTACTATACCATTCCATACCCAGCAGATGGGAGAGGGACAGCCCAGGAGAGCTCGTTAGCAGCCCAACAGACAGCCTATCACTGGCCATCGATTTGGCGTGTCACATTTGGCTAGTTGATTTGGCGAGTTTTGGTGTTTGATTTTCAAGTCTTGGACAGACTGTGAGGACCAACCTTGGATACTAAACACACTGTACATTTGGCTGAAACACATGAAACATTTTCAAGATTTACGTTGAACGTTATCAGTGACTGATTTAACTGTTGATTTTGTAGATTCCGGTGGACGAAAAATGGGGAAGAGTTTGACCCCTACCAGGACCCGAGGCTGATCAAGGAGGACAACTCGGGGACATTTGTGATCCCCAACACTGGGAACCTCACAGAGTACCAGGGAACATACCGCTGTTATGCCTCGAACAAACTAGGGACAGCCATAACGGAGGAGATTGAGTTTGTTGTGCCCCGTGAGTAGCATAGATCCATACATCTCTGATCTCTATGGTGCTCCATTACAGTTCTTTGAAAGTAATTCAGGGCCTGAAAATCAATGTTGTGACTGTGTCGCTCCGTCGTGAGCTGTTCGTTGTATTGACCATGGCAGAAAGTCATTGAACCTCCAGAGCATTCCACCCCCAGTTGCCTCTCATCTATACCCATATAGAAGGGAGACTGATCTAGCCTCTCCATCATTTCCCTTGGTACATTTTTCATTTTGTTCCAAAGCATAGTACATAAATCTTCAAAGAAATCCAGACCGAGGGGAACTGTGACAAAATTTGTCCGTGCTTCAACCATTCAGTGCGACTGACATGCAGCACAACAGTACTAATGACGTCTATTTCTTCCCGCAAGTCAAAATATGAAGAATGTGCTGTAAAATCCAATTCACTGGAACACAAACACCTCCATAGACGACCAGCACAAAACACTAGTATCATAGGACTGCCACCTGCTGGAGAGAAAGGCAACTACATCAAATGACTGACAAATCATACACTGACATACACTGAGTATACCAAACATTAAGAACACCTTCCTAATATTGAGTTGCTTTCACCTGGATTCACCTGGTCAGTCTATGTCATGGAAAGAGCAGGTGTTCCTAATGTTTTGTACACTCCATATATATTATGTTTTTTTTTTATCAGATGTTCCTAAGTTTCCAAAGGAGACGATTGATCCCATCGAGGTGGAGGAGGGTCAGCCTGTCATTCTGGAGTGTAACCCTCCTAAAGGAATCCCTCCTTTACAGATCTACTGGATGACCATCGGTGAGTGACTAGCGGCTTCCCAGACCTAACACAGTGTCTGAGTCATGTCCAATGCTTTCTGTGGACACCTGCCGTTTTATTGAAGGACAATAGATCAAACAAAAGCTACTAGCATGCGGTTTATATGGAATGTTGCCCTCTTTTCACCTCCTCAGGCCTTCAGCACATAGAGCAGGATGACAGGGTGTCCATGGGTCTGAACGGCGACCTGTTCTTCTCTAATGCTCTGGAGAAGGACAGTCGCAGAGACTACTGCTGCTTCGCTGCCTTCCCCAGGATACGCACCATCGTACAGAAGACTGCCATGTCTGTCATAGTCAAAAGCAGTAGGTGTCAATCTAAAAGGCATGTCTGTGATTAGGTTTATTTATTAACTCCGCTACAGCGTAGAGCTTGACCAAATGACTTTGGTCTTGTGAAGATTCAGATCCAGCAAAAAGCTTTGTTTTGATCATCATAATGACCTCAACCTCTGATTCAATGCATTTGTCGCTATGATCATGTACAGTTGAAGTCGGAAGTTTACATACACCTTAGCCAAATACATTTAAACTCAGTTTTTCACAATTCCTGACATTTAATCCTAGTACAAATTCCCTGTCTTAGGTCAGTTAGGATCACAACTTTATTTTAAGAATGTGAAATGTCAGAATAATAGTAAAGAGAATGATTTATTTCAGCTTTTATTTAATCACATTCCCAGTGGGTCAGAAGTTTACATACACTCAATTAGTATTTGGTAGCATTGCCTTTAAATTGTTTAACTTGGGTCAGTTTTGGAGCAGTGGCTTCTTCCTCGCTGAGCGGCCTTTCAGGTTTGTCGATATAGGACTCTTTTTACTGTGGATATAGATACTTTTGTACCTGTTTCCTCCAGCATCTTCACAAGGTCCTTTGCTGTTGTTCTGGGATTGATTTGCACTTTTCGCACCAAAGTATGTTCATCTTTAGGAGACAGAACGCGTCTCCTTCCTGAGCGGTATGAAGGCTGCGTGGTCCCATGGTGTTTATACTTGCATACTATTATCTGTACAGATGAACGTGGTACCTTCAGGCGTTTGGAAATTGCTCCCAAGGATGAACCAGACTTGTGGAAGTCTACACATTTTTTTCTGAGGTCTTGGCCGATTTCTTTTCATTTTCCCATGATGTCAAGCAAAGAGGCATTGAGTTTGAAGGTAGGCCTTGAAATACATCCACAGGTACACCTCCAATTGACTCAAATGATGTCAATTAGCCTATCAGAAGCTTCTAAAGCATGACATCATTTTCTGGAATTTTCCAAGCTGTTTAAAGGCACAGTCAACTTAGTGTATGCAAACTTCTGACCCACTGGAATTGTGAAACAGTGAATTATAAGTGAAATAATTTGTCTGTAGACAATTGTTGGAAAAATTACTTGTGTCATGCACAAAGTAGATGTCCTAACCAACTTGCCAAAACTATAGTTTGTTAAGAAGAAATGTGTGGAGTGGTTGAAAAACAAGTTTTAATGACTCCAACCTAAGTGTATGTAAACTTCCGACATCAACTGTACATGATCAAGAACATTCCCAATATCCAACCGCATTTCCAAAGTTGTATTTTCTTTACTCTTGATGACACTGATGTTTTCATGAATCTACAGCACCCCATTGTCTGTCATGATTGTTCTGTTTTATGGATGCTTTGCACATTTTCATATGTTACCCACCTTCATTTCAGAAAATTCAAACAGTGACTCAAGTAGCAGTCCTGGTCATGGTAAGTTACATGCCATACCATATCATTGTCCAGAACACCCCATACATTATTTTTTTTCATATCAGAGTGTGATATGGGGATCCAAAGATTGCATTGTAGGTTAGCAGTCCAAGAGTTAGACCCATGCATTGCCTTCTTTGAAAAACTAAGCATAAAAAACTGTTTCTATTCCATTCTCAAAGCCAATTCAATTCTGGAGAGGAAACCAAGTCTTCTGATGCCCTCTGGTGTCAAGTCGGAGACACAGCTGGTGAAAGGTGATGAGCTGCTACTGGAGTGCATTGCGGAGGGCTTGTAAGTAAACCCTTCCTCTCTATTTTACAAAGTACTGCATGATATCTGCTAGACACTTCATTGTATTTGAAGCAACTACATCAATGTAAAATATCAATCATTATACTGCCCCTTTCAGTCCAACACCCAAGATTGAATGGGTGAAGATGGGCCACAGGCTGCCCGACAGAGCGACAATAGAGAACCATGGGAAACTCCTGAGCATTAACCGGGTCAATGAGGACGACAGTGGGAAATACATGTGTAAGGCTAAGAACATCCACGGAGAGGCCAGGCACTCCTTTGATGTATCAGTGGAAGGTAAGTGGAGAAATTGACAAAGGTTGAAATAATAGGTTCTTAGTTTTATTATGTGTGTCTGAAAAACAGCTGTATAGCTTAAACTGCATTCATAGGTTTTACTGTAGGAAACCGCAATAGAGTCTGATATGATAAGTACTTCGTAATAGTAACTCATTTTTATGATAACGAGTGCCATCTACTGTACATTGAATGAACTGCTATTCAAGAGGGATTCAAAAAGTCACCATTTGAGAATTGGCTCCAGGTGATAGAAAACACAAACATCATAACTCTTGCATGATTCCCATGTTTTTTAATGCAAATTCTGGGAGAGAGGTGTACTGTGCTCTGGTTCCCTCACTTCTTCCTGATGTTATGTCTGTCTTTGATGTTGTTCTTTCCAGAGCCTCCTCGGTGGGTGTCTGGGCCTGAGAGCCAGCTTAGTACGATTGGCTCAAATGTGCATATCAAGTGCTCTGCCACTGGCACTCCTCAGCCCACCATCCAATGGAGGGTGAATGGAAAACGTCTTGAGGGTATGTTCTCAGTCTACCTCGACAAGACATGGATGTCCTATTTCTAGTACTGCCAATTGATGCACAGTTAATGGATTTCATTGTTGATTGCAGAGGTCCCAGCATCTAACAGAAAAGAGTTGGATGACACCATTGTCTTGCACAACGCCAAATCAATTGACAGTGCCGTCTACCAATGTGAGGCCTCCAACAGACATGGAACCCTACTGGCCAATGCCAATATCATGATCATGAGTAAGTTTATGGGGCTTCGTTGGTTTTAAGCTCCACCTCTGAAAATAGCCTCTACTTTCCTCTGAGGCTTTAAGTTTTAATGGTCACAAATGAATAGTTGCAACATCTCAGCATTCATCATTGTTTTACCAGTCGTGCTCATCCATTTAGTATGGAATTGTATGAAGAGGAAAGTGCACAAAATAATCCAACCAGTTGCTTGGCATTGGCGTGAGGCAGTGGAAGACTGTCTGTGAGTGGTGGTGTGTCTGGTTTGAAAGCCGGCTCTGGCGCCTGCGCACCTCGGGCCATGGTGAAATAAAGGTTGTCTGAGCACCACAGTCCTCCATACAGACTACCCACCCACGTCCCCTGTCCCTGTTGATCAGCCCGCCTGCTCCCAGGCATTTATTCATATGCTAGCACGTTTCTCTACTCCATTCAGAATGCAATGCCACAACACTAAAATGTGTTCCTTTTTTAAGAGCAGATTTTAAAAAATGTGCTCTCTTTGGCTTCTCAGAAATGTCTGGAGTTTGTCACTGGTGACAAACTAGGAAGTTATTAACTGGACTGTTTCTGGATTCAAAATCACAGCTTTTCCTTTTTGTTAACAATGGAGTGAGACAGACAGGATGTTTTGGTTAGAAATTATAAGACACATTTATTTTAAATTTGGCAGTCATTGTTCCACTTGTTTTCATTTATTATTCATTTTTTATTGTTTCAAATTGTATGACAATCATCGTGACAGTCCAGCCATTCTTTCAAAATAAATGTTAATTAACAAAAATGGAAGAAAACTTGGTCTGCTTTATCAGTCTCATTTATTTGAATCTTGGCTATACATTTTAATGGACTTTCTTAGTGTATCTTTGTAACCAATACTGCAATACAGGCGAAGGGCAATTCCTCAATCCCTCCATATCTGTATGGAAGTTAGAAAATAAATCTCTCTCTCTCGTTCATTTCCCAAACCCTGAATCACTAACTGGGATGTCTCTCCCCACAGATCTGCCTCCTATGATCCTGACAGAGGAAGGTCTGGAGTATTCCACTGTGGAGGGGAAGAGTGTAGTCATGCACTGCAAGGTGTTCAGCTCTCCACCCTCTATTGTAACCTGGTGAGTAGGCTAACCAAAGCCTGGTCCCAGAACAGTACTGGCTTCAGCCAACTCATCCTACTCTTCTTGTCATGCCATCAATCATTGGTTCAAGCCCATACAAATGCTGGACCAGGCTATTCCAGCTCCAACCAATCCTCTCAGAGGCCAGTAGAGAGCAGTAGCTATCAATGTGTCGTTAGTATATATCAGTGTCAAAGTGTCATTAGATAGTTATAAAAATAACTGTGTACAGGATCTGTTTCTCTGTTGGTGCACCACTGTTTACTGTGGAAATGTACAGAAAGAAAAAACGTACACCTACACAAATTCTTTAAGGGGTATTGTTGCAGTATCTTCTTAAGTGCTCAGCAAGGTTCCGCTGTAATTGAATTAAATCGCAAGTGGAGACTTTAATTGATTGTTTTAAATGTACAGGAACAAGGATGATTCAACAGGGTCTGTGGAGGGACAAAGGTTTACAGTTCACCAGAATGGATCATTGGAGATCCATAATGTGGAGAAAGAGGACATGGGCCAATACACATGTTACACCAAGAATACTGAAGGGAAGTCGGCTATAACTGCCTTACTGGATGTTAAAGGTATGAAACTAAATATAAGATGTCATTTGTTTAACACACAACTAGGGCCATGTGTTTTTCTAAATACAGTATGTGACCTGACTAGGAAAAAATGCCTTACATAGTTTTGGTTAGAAAGTCACATGGTTAGAAAAAAGAGGGTCCTAAACATAGCCCTTTACATGTAGCTTATACAGTGGTGTGTTTCATCTATCCAAGATCCCACAAAGATATTCCAGGCCCCAGAGGACTTGCAGGTCCTAATAGGATCCACAGCCCAGCTCTCCTGCCTGGCGGTGTACGACAACTCCTTCAGTGGCGACTTTGAGATAGTGTGGGAAAAAGATGATATGGAGATAGCACTAAACCACACTGAGAATTCTGGGTAAGACGAAGCCTTTCTTATGGTGTCACAGATTCAAGCCTAGCCGGATAGTGAACTTGTTTTTTTTCAGATTGCACAGATCAATAGGTTGTCTCTCTTTTTTTCTGCCGATAGATATTTCGTAGAGGATGGCATACTGCAGATCGTCAACGTAAGCCACAGAGACCAGGGCATGTACAAGTGTGTGGCCAGAACTCCAGTGGACCAGGACACTGCCTCTGCACTACTTATAGTGCTGGGTGAGCATATAGGTCAAATACTGTACATCAAAACCTGGTCTGACCCAAAGGGTCTATGACACCCAGCACAACAGAAATGCATAGCATGTCACAGTATGGATCCATATGCTGAAGCCAAGCGTTCCATGGCGTGCAGAACAGAGCAGAACATGATTACACCTTGTGTCTTCAGACCTCGGCTCTGCATTTACAGAACAATGCCTTTCATATCGTTTGCATCGTAGTTTTACATGTTGCTTTCTTTTCCATTTGTCAGTTTCTGACTGTTTCATGGAGCATTTAAACATTTTTCTCAGTCCTTTTCCAGAGGATACCATGTCTTTGTGTTATCAAAGTAATGTTGTTGTGGTGGTGGTGTTTTTCCAGATGTCCCAGATGCACCTGAGAACTTGGTGCTGTCTGAACACAAGGGCAGAAGTGTGAAGCTCAAATGGATCCCTGGGGATGACCACAACAGCTCAACCACTGGTAATAGTCTGGCTCTACAAACAAAGTTCAGCAGCTCTGCATGCATGTTGTAACAGCAGGCCTGTAGTATATACAATGATAATAACATGGCACATATTTACTAAGAAAATGGAATTAGTACTTTATTATTGTGTAAGTCTCCTGTCAACATCCCAACACAAATGTGTCCTTTTTTAGCAAGTTTCCTGCTTAGTTCAGTGTCTGAAGAGTTTGCTACACAGGTGGCTGTTAGATAAGCAGCTCCTTTGGCAAAGGGCTTGGGCAGATTGGGGACTGGTTTGTGTGTCTCACCCTGTGAACAGACTTCATTATTGAGTATGAGGAGAGCCAGTGGGAGCCAGGGAACTGGAACGAGCTTCAGAGAGTTCCAGGAAATCACGGTTCGGCAGTCCTCAAACTTTACGGACATGTTGACTATCGCTTTCGAGTGTCTGGAGTCAACGCGGTGGGAAGGGGGCGTCCCAGTGAGCCCACAGAAAGATACAAGACCCCTCCTGCAGGTAGGAAGTCCACTCATGTTCCTTTATCCTCCAGCTTCATATCCCCCTACAGGCCGTCTGACCTGCCTCCGCCGCTCGTTGAACTTTAAAACACTCAAACATCTGAGATAATTGATTTCACCCTTAGGTCTCTCATGCACATTTCACAGGAGATGTATTTAACTAACAATTACAATTCTGGCAAAATCCATATTTCTTCTCTCCCACCAGCCCCTGACAAGAACCCAGAAAATATTAAAATCGAAGGTCATTTGCCACATGAAATGGATATCAACTGGGAGGTAACAAACAGAATGTGGTTCCTTTAATATTCCTTCCCTGCGAACGTACGCACCCCTCCGAGTACTGAATATTTCACAGCAGTTACATTTTGGGGAAGTCAAAGAATCTCTCTTTATTCATAGAGAAAATAAGCTTTAGTGTTATCCCTCAGTAATAAATCAAATATCCCTGCTTTTGTTATGTCATATTATGATGTATAACTTTAGAAAACCTATTTTTGATGGGTCGTAGTGAATGGGATAGCTATCAAAGCAGTTCATTGTGGTGCTTTTAATAGAAAGTGAAAAGGAATGGAGCAGAGAGGAGTACAGTAATACAGTAATAAATTCTGCTTCATTGTAAAAATATTAATCTCACCCCCACGTATTATCGTCCTGCCCTAGCAGAGTAATTTAACCTGAACTTCTGAATTTATGAGCTCCCTCATTGTTAATGATTTGCTTTTGTGGATAATAGTGTCTTATTCTATTTCCCATCATGGTCAGGCCATTGTGAGGAAAGCACTAGATCTCTCTATAATCTCTATAGTCTGTGAAGTCCTAGCCTGCTCCTTATATCAGAGGGGTGCCTCAGAGCTCCCTGGAGCCAGCACCCAGCCAATTGTCTTATTGTTTTACTGATTTTATATGATCAAAGATTAGGATCCATGTATATGGGCTTGACATGATAACCCCACAATAGCTGAGATGTTGAAGGAAATATAAAGAGCTCCTTGCTTCATTGTTCAAGTTCCTATTAAACAGTAATAATCTGTGTGTTACTGTTATTCTTACATTCCCCGCCCTTGCAGCCATTGTCCCCCATTGAACACAATGGGCCAGGCCTTGAATATAAGGTGAGCTATAAACGGCAGGATGTGGAGGAGGACTGGCACGAGCATGTGGTGAAAAGACACTCGTTTGTGGTGAAGGGCACTCCCACGTTTGTGCCATATGAGATCAGGATCCAGGCGAGGAACTACCAGGGATGGGGACCAGAACCCAAAGTGATGACGGGCTACTCTGGGGAGGACTGTGAGTGACTACTGTCCTTTTTTAATAAAATCTTACAGCCTTGTAAATACAAAGAATGTATGTGAATTTCACAATAATAATACTATTCAAATGTATAAGGCCAGTACAGTATGTACCATTCAGCTCTGTGTATTGTTGGCTACAGTCCATAAAAGCTGGACTCTTTATTCTTCAAATTGCTATACATTTGTGAGCAGAGTAGTTGATGAAATCCAATGTTTGCTAGTAGCTTGGTTGAGCATCACTTTATAGAGCCTATGTCCCCTTTCACTTATGCCAAAGTGAAAACTCTCTTTTAGAAGTCATAAACCATTTCATTCCATACAGTTTTTTATTTCTATCTTTATCTTTAGCTTTCTTTTGGATTTGCCCTCAGGATGTAACCTCAGGTCAAATATAACACCTCAACCTTGTTAACAATGTGTTTTCTTCCTTTAGAAGCTTTGTACTCTTCTGTTGTCATACTGTCTGGTATCATCGCTTAGGCAATAGCACTGAGCCCCACACTAGTTCCACCCTTGTGAAAGTGGTATATTTAGATTGCAGTCACTGATGTATAGATTATTATTTGACAGAGGTAAATCTTTGAATCACCTAAACACTCAACCCAGCCAACACTACACATATGAATGGCCTGTCTGATGTGAGTGTGTTTGGCCCTGCAGTCCCATCCGCAGCCCCTGATGATGTAGAGGTGGAGGTGATGAACAACTCGCTGGTCAAGGTCAGCTGGACACGTGTTCACAAGGACAAGCTGCATGGACATCTGGGAGGCTACAGGGTAATTCCTCAAAACAGCCCAGTAGCTTTAAGACACAGTTTAAAAGGAGAGACCCTGACCACGCTGGATCTTCTGGCCCTCTCATCCCACTCCGTCTCCCTACTGCTGACAGCTCACTGTTCCCTTACACTAGTAAAAAAAAATACTATAACCCAGACTATAGCCTTGTTCTATTTATGAGCTGTTGTCCTTTTCTCACATAATTATGATCTGTTAGACCCATAACACTTTGTCTCCCCTCTGTCATGGCTGTGTCAGTTAAACTGGTGGCGGCTGCGTAGTCTGCTGGACTCAAAAAAGACTCACGGGAACAAACACACACTGACATTCCCGGGGGACCGGAACCATGCCATGGTACCGGGGCTCACGCCCTTCTCTGAGTACAGCCTCATCGTCATGACCTTCAACGGGCGAGGCAACGGGCCAGGCAGCCACGCCGTCAACTTCAAAACTCCCGAGGGAGGTAAGACAGGAGGGGAGAGGTCTGGGGTGCCATGGAACATATTGATTCAGTACTGTCCAACTGAAGAAGAAAATAACTATCTAGAGACAATATTATTGTGCTACACTATCAAACTGCTTACTACCTGTATATTATTTTGTTTCTCAGTTCCAGAGAAAAACCCAGTTTTCAGGGTCACAGATGTTCAGAAGCACACCGTTGCTCTCACCTGGGCACCTCCTCTGGTTGCCAATGGAGTCCTCACAGGATACCGGCTAGAGTATCAGCTAAGTGTGTACAACTCTTTCCCCTTCCCCGTTGAACTGCAGTCTCTTACATGCACCAGCCTACCTTCATTCAAAGTGACTAGCGATTCCTTGATCTTACCACTAGGAGATATTGTTGTGCTTGTGAATGGTGCTACAGCACGTTGTTGAACGCTTTGTTAATGAGGGTTTATAGTTTAGTTCCTACAGCTGGTGTTCTATTATAGAAATGTGAGAAATGCATGCAGAGCTGTGATTGTGAAGATCCACAGGTTTAAATCTCACAGTGATTGCATGAGAATAAGATTAAATGGGGGGAAACTCAGATTAAAATAATGAGGCTTGAATACAACTAAATGTTAAATGTCTCTTATTGGATGGCATCAGAAAGCATGGAAGTGGATATCCAAGTATGACTTATTGATAGTATAACCAGGGATGACCCCCTTGGTGGAAAAAAATCACTGTGTTGTTCTGATGAGAGAGGGGTCAGTGTTGGGTTGGGGTGTGACACACTGGCCTGTGTGGTGTGTCATGATCCGGCCCCAACAGCGCTGACCAAGGCCAGCGTGTCACAGCCTTTTAAGGTCTTTGTTAGTGACCCGATACCGTCCACTGGGGACTTCATCACAACCAACGTCCCAGATTAATCCCAAAGGAAACAGTCACTGGACAACCATAACGTGCATGTGTATGTCTCACCCTTCATCCCTGGCCTGAAACAATGATGATGATGAGGCTAATTACAAAGTTTTAAAGAAAGCTTTGCACAGCAACTCTCCCTAATGGTTTTTGATTTTGCCGCTGTGCAAGAGGGCCAAAAGTGTCATGCTGTATTTCAGAAGAAGGGACGTTTACATTGTGCAAGCGTGATAAAGCTGATGGACTCTTTTGAAGTGAGGGGTTTTTGAAGTCCCCTTGAAGGAACTTGTGTGTGAAATGTTAAGGATAATGCACACAGCTGTCAGCATGGCACCGGGAGGAAGCACCAGAGGAATTTAAAGGCTGCTGCACAGCTGTTCCAGGGCTGAGCCCAGCTTCTTAGAGGGCCTTGCTAACTAAATATTTCACAGGTTCCACAGGACCTACACTGTTACATTGAGAGCTAGTTCCATCACTAGGGAGGGCTGAACCAACTCACAATGCAGATCAGATATTATACATGCTTACATAGCGTGGTCATGTATCCATCACCCCAACATATCATGAGTGTCCTTTTCAAATGATCAATCAAAGGCTTCTTTTCAGAGAGATCCTATGTGTCCATTAATATAGTAACACAAGTTTAATTCAGTGTCTGTGTGTGTTTAGTCAATGACACAGAGGAGGTGGGTGTCCTGCAGTCGGTGGACATCAGCCGCCCTGACACCACCACGTGTGTCCTGCGGGACCTCGAGGCTGTCAGCAGGTACAAGTTCTACCTGCGCTCCTGCACCAGGGTGGGCTGTGGGCCCCAGGTCAGCGAGGAGAGCACCACCACGCCTGAAGCACGTAAGTCACACAGGCCGGGGTGTTGCAGGGCAGATGGGGGATACTGGAGGAAGTCCTATATGGACAGAAGGGGGCATGGGTTTAGGGTTGGGGGTAATAGTGAGCTGTGGCAGCCAGACTTTGGGATGATGTACTTTGTAGATGACCAAGCCTGTACTCTGTAGATGACCAAGACTGTACTCTGTAGATGACCAAGCCTGTACTCTGTAGATGACCAAGCCTGTACTCTGTAGATGACCAAGACTGTACTCTGTAGATGACCAAGCTTGTACTCTGTAGATGACCAAGACTGTACTCTGTAGATGACCAAGCCTGTACTCTGTAGATGACCAAGCCTGCACTCTGTAGATAACCAAGCCTGTACTCTGTAGATGACCAAGCCTGTACTCTGTAGATGACCAAGCCTGTACTCTGTAGATAACCAAGCCTGTACTCTGTAGATGACCAAGCCTGTACTCTGTAGATGACCAAGCCTGTACTCTGTAGATGACCAAGCCTGTATACTGTAGATGACCAAGCCTGTACTCTGTAGATGACCAAGCCTGTACTCTGTAGATAACCAAGCCTGTACTCTGTAGATGACCAAGCCTGTACTCTGTAGAAGACCAAGCCTGTACTCTGTAGATGACCAAGCCTGTACTCTGTAGATGACCAAGCCTGTACTCTGTAGATAACCAAGCCTGTACTCTGTAGATGACCAAGCCTGTATACTGTAGATGACCAAGCCTGTACTCTGTAGATGACCAAGCCTGTACTCTGTAGATGACCAAGCCTGTACTCTGTAGATGACCAAGCCTGTACACTGTAGATGACCAAGCCTGTACTCTGTAGATGACCAAGCCTGTACTCTGTAGATGACCAAGCCTGTACTCTGTAGATGACCAAGCCTGTACTCTGTAGATGACCAAGCCTGTATACTGTAGATGACCAAGCCTGTACTCTGTAGATGACCAAGCCTGTACACTGTAGATGACCAAGCCTGTACTCTGTAGATGACCAAGCCTGTACTCTGTAGATGACCAAGCCTGTACACTGTAGATGACCAAGCCTGTACTCTGTAGATGACCAAGCCATTTCAGTAATGGCTTGGCCCAGAATTTCAGGGAATATGATATTGGCTCCAACTGCCAGGCTTTTCATATCTCCATCTAAGTAATTTTTGTTGGTAAACAATATCATAAGGGTGTGAGAAGGGGTTTCATTCGTCATTGTCATGAAAGAGCAAGTGCTTATTGATTTAAAGGAGAAAGCAAGCTATGAAACAACCAGCTGGAAAATAGATTTGCCTTCGGCAAGAGAAACTGTATATTTTCTATATCATATTGTATTATTATATAGGAATTGGTGAGGTAAGTCAATTGCCAGCCATTGCAGTATGTTTGGTTCATGCATGTTTGGTTCATTTTATAAAACACTTCACATGAGTGGTAGATATGTACTCTTCTGAGTCTGTGGGAGTATAGATAAGGGGGTGGCACCAGTCAAATATAATTAGAATCTAATGAAAATAAGCAAGTGCACTTGATTTTGTAATGGAGAGTCTGTACTGTATTCTGAGGTGCCACAGCACACACAGCCTCTGTCCAACAACAGTAATAATTCATTTGGGTCCTCTCTAATAGTACATTTTAGTAGACGCTCTTATCCAGAGCAACTTACAGGAGCAATTAGGGTTAAGTGCCTTGCTCAAGGGCACGTCAACAGATTTTTCAGCAAGTCTGCTCAGGGATTCGAGCCAGCGACCTTTCAGTTACTGGTCCAATGCTCATAATCGCTAGGCTACCTGCAAGTAAGGGCTTTCACATGAATATAAATGTACAGTATAACAAAACATAGCATCCTATTCAATCTCAGTAAGCAGGCTTCTGGGATGAATTCAAAAACATCAAATTTGGTGTGCTGTGAGAATGCATGTTTAGATAATATTGTTTTGGATGTATATCCTGTAAATACAAGTTACACTCTTATAAAAAAGGGTTCCAAAAGGTTTCTTTGGCTGTCCATATAAGAGAACCCTTTTTGTTTCCAGGTATAACCCTTTTTGGTTTCAGGTAGAAACCTTTTTTTCTACCTGGAACCCAACGTTTTTTTTTAACCTGGAACCAATAAGGGTTCTACCTGGAACCAATAAGGGTTCTTCAAAGGTTTCTCCTGTGGGGACAGCTGAAAAACCCTTTTAGGTTCTACATAGCACCTTTTATTCTAAGAGTGTTGATTGAGATGGGCCATAATTGTAATTTACTTCATTTACACAAATTGATGCATCTTTTTCATGCTTATGTTGCGGTTGGTGTCTGCATATGCTTTCGCTATGCCATGCTAATGTACACTGAACAAAAATATAAACGCAAAGTGCTGGTCCCATGTTTCATGAGCTGAAATAAAAGATTCCAGAAATGTTCCATACGCACAAAAAGCTTATTTCTCTTACGTTTTCTGAACAAATTCGTTTACATCCCTGTTAGTGAGCATTTGTCCTTTGCCAAGATAATCCATCCACCTGACAGGTGTGGCATATCAAGAAGCTGATTAAACAGCATGATCATAACACAGGGGCACCTTGTGCTGGGGACAATAAAAGGCCACTCTAAAATGTACAATTTTGTCACACAACACAATGCCACAGATGTCTCAAGTTTTGAGGGAGTGTGCAATTGGCATGCTGACTGCAGGAATGTCCACCAGAGCTGTTGGCAGATAATTGAATGTTAATTTCTCTATCATAAGCCGCCTCCAACATTGTTTTAGAGAATTTGGCAGTACGTCCAACTGGCCTCACAACCGCAGACACGTGTATGGCGTCATGTGGGCGAGCGGTTTGCTGATATCAACGTTGTGAACAGAGTGACAGTGGGGTTATAGTATGGGCAGGCATAAGCTACGGACAATGAAAACAAATGCATTTTATCGATGGCAATTTGAATGCACAGAGATACCGTGACGAGATCCTGAGGCCTATTGTTGTGTCATTCATCCGCCACCATCACCTCATGTTTCAGCCTGATAATGCATGGCCCCATGTCACAAGGATCTGTACACAATTCCTGGAAGATGAAAATGTCCCAGTTCTTCCATGGCCTGCATACTCACCAGACATGTCAACCATTGAGCATGTTTGGGATGCTCTGGATTGATGTGTACGACAGCGTATTCCATTTCCCGCCAACATCCAGCAACTTCGCACAGCCATTGAAGAGGAGAGGGACAACATTCCACAGGCCACAATCAACAGCCTGATCAACTCTGCGAAGGAGATGTTTCACGCTCCATGAGGCAAATGGTGATCACACCAGATACTGACTGGTTTTCTGATCCACGGCCCTACCTTTTTTTAAGGTATCTGTGACCAACATATGCATATCTGTATTCCTAGTCATGTGAAATCCATAGATTAGGGCCTAATGAATTTATTTAATTCGACTGATTTCCTTATATGAACTGTAACTCAGTAAAATCTTTGAATTTGTTGCATGTTGCATTTATATTTTTGTTCAGTATATGTAAGGCTTTTAACTTGTGCAATTGAAAATAATCTATGCCTATCAGGTATCCATCGTTTTGATGGGTACATTCAGTGTGTGGTGTGGAAGCTGAAACCACTTTCAAAACATGTACCTGCTTGGCAATGCGTTCCTTTTTTCTTTTCTATCTCTTCACCAGCTTCAACAGCGGTGTCCACTGTCAACTTCAGTATGTAGATTTCTGTTTATGTGCAGTAAAAAGAACTACTGTAGTCTAACGCTGCTGTAAATCATGCCCTCGGGTATATTAACTACGTTGATTTATTACTGCATGAGTCTGCAATTCAATAATTGTATCATATCCTTGGTAGATAGTTGAGTAGTACTGTAGCTCTCTCATTCCATTTCTGAGAACGACTCATGCTATTCTTTTGATATACCTGTTAGTATGATTTCTGTAAGCTATAGTTTCTTTAACATAGACTAGCTGTGTGCATGAATATGGATAAAGGGCTGATAAACGGGTGGGAGGTGACAGCTACAGACAGCTCTAGACAGCTCCTGCCTCCATGGTTGAATGGGTCAAGCAGGCATTTAGCAAAAGTTACTGAATCTGATGTCAGCAACAATTAAGACCTTTAATATTTCACACAAATACGAAACTAAAATGATGCAGATACTCCTCTCATCTGTGAATAATTGCCCTTGTCTGTTGCTTGCCCTTGCCGTCAGCGCTGAGCACTCTGATGCCTCCTTTCATTAGTAGACCAATACAGACTCCCCTGTTTTCAGACCAAGTTTGTGGTTTTCTCTGCAATAACAATGGTAATGAGGATCCTGATTATAAATTCATATTAATCCGATCTCATTAGTGAATCTCTGAATGAATATTGACTTGTGTTCTAACAACAACAGGATCAATGCCACCTGTATTACAAAAGCAACAGGATCAAATGAATCTTTAAGTGCAACATACAGGAAGGCTATCAGACAGGCATCTATATTGTAGTGTCATTCAGTTCAAATGATGGCGTCTTTGCCTCAAACCGAACAGTGGAATAGTCGCTTCCTGTAGTACAAATGATTACCAATGATCATATCTAACCATAAATTAGACCTTATTTCCTAGTTGTTTGATGGTATTCATTGCTCTGTAGTAGTAACCACCCTGACTAGTCATTATAGTAGACATATCTGTAGACTAGAAACTAATATCAGTCCAATAGACTAGAAACTAATATCATTCCACAATACCCATACTTGTAATGTACTAACAATTTGTCTAGTAGTCAGTAGACAGTAGCTCCCCCTCCCTAACTCAAAAAAATAGCCAATAATCTCAAGATCTGTCTTTCTTTTCAGACCAGTCTGCTTCCCCCTCACCTCCAAGCACTGCAGTCTCCCACGTGTCCAATGCCACCCGTTCCAACATAGGTATACATGTCACCAATTGTGTTCAGTATGGCAATGAGAGCCATAGGTGGAAATACTGGAAACTCAAGTGATCGCAATGACACAAATACTCTATTTTGAACTTCAATCAATGAAAAACTAACCTAAGTATCGATGTTGAGTTAAAGTCCAGAAAATGGCTCAACAACAGACAGTCAAGTTATTGAATCTATTCCATACCCAAAGGTGTGAATGTAGTGTGTTGAAGTTTGAACAGGACAAATATGTCTTTCATTTTTACATTTTAGTCATTTTAGCAGACGCTCTTATCCAGAGCGACTTACAGTTAGTGAATACATATTATAATTTTTTATACTGGCCCCCCGTGGGAATCAAACCCACAACCCTGGCGTTGCAAACGCCATGCTCTATCAACTGAGCTTCCCCCTCACCTCCCTGCCAGCCATTCCCTCCCCTACCCTGGACGACGCTGGGCCAATTGTGCACCGCCCATGAGTCTCCCGGTCGCAGCAGGCTGCGACAGAGCCTGGATTCAAACCAGGATCTCTAGTGGCACAGTTAGCACTGCAATGCAGTGCCTTAGACCACTGCGCCACTCAGGATATTGTCTAGGATTGATTTTTTGGGGCCCAGTCCTCTTTTACACGGCAGAATATTGACCAAACAGTCACCTGAACATTTCCTTGTAACCTTCAACTGGGTAACAACAATAGTGCCGTGGGGCAAGCAAATGTCCATAGCACCATTTGAGCTGAGGGAAATGTCGGCTTAGCCAGGCAGAGTGAGGAGGAGGTGTGAGCTCTTAAGGAGACAGTAATGTTTAGGGGACTGAGATAAGTGGATAAATGGACAACTTTTGAAAGCTGTAGATCAGAATATTTCTGTGTACTGGGTCACTCCTTTCAATAGAGCTCCCTGTCTTCGAAGAGCCATCTTTCAGGCATTGTGGCAGGGCCAGGGCTGCGCTCCCTGCTGTGGCAGCAGATGCTTTCTGCAGCCTTTAATACCAGGCTGAGCAGCGCAGTAACAAACACGCCAAGCCCTGGGATATTTTTAGTCAGGCCCTGTGTCACTTAGTCATCATACTAAGCGAATGATGGAAATTACCATAGTTACGAAGTCATACATCAGCATTACCCACGGTGTGTCATTTGTGCTCACAGGGATGGGCAGCACAGACACAGGTGTCCTTGTGTACTGAATTATCACCTGAGAAAATATGACACCTGAGCAGGAGACACAGTCACAGATTTGCATGTTTGCCTGAGGGAAATGAAGGGGATCGGTTGCTGTTGACCGGCTCAGACCAAAGCTTTATTTTCCAGCTTTAGCAATATGGAGTGATGCATGATTCTCACCCTCACTCCAGGTGCAGTGGTTCTTTGATTTCTTCTAGGTGTCAGAGTCTTCAGAGTCTTTATTAGTCTGTTATTGTCTAGTGTATTCACCACTGTGTACATGAGTTAAACTGCAGTGAGGCACAGGGACTTGCTAACCTCTCATATTTAACATTCCCATTGATGTGTTTACTGTTGTAGAAGAAAAGCTCAATTTTGAAATTGAACCCTTCCACGTGAACCTCTTGAACTCCTCCACATCTTAAGCATATTTTCCATAGGGGTATGTACACTGAATGTACAAAACATTATAATATTGTGTTGCCCCTTTAGCCCTCAGAACAGCCTCAATTAGTTGGGTAATGGACTCTACAAGGTGTCGAAAGTTGACTCCAATGCTTTCCACAGTTGTGTCAAGTTGGCTGGATGTCCTTTGTGTGGTGGACCATTCTTGATACACACGGGAAACTGTTGAGCGTGAAAAACCCAGCAGCATTGCAGTTCTTTACACACTCAAACTGGCGCGCCTGGCACCTACTACCATACCCGTTCAAAGGCATTTAAATCTTTATATTGTCAATTCACCCTCTGAATGACACACACACAAGCCATGTCTCAATTGTCTCAAGGCTTAAAAATCATTCTTTAACCAGTCTCCTCCCCTTCATCTACACTGATTGAAGTGGATTTAACAAGTGACATCAATAAGGGATCATAGCTTTCACCTGGATGCACCTGGTCAGTCTATGTCATGGAAAGAGCAGGTGTTCTTAATGTTAGGTACACTCAGTGTACAGTACATATGTATTTCAGCAGGGTAAATCTATGTGATTTGAAAACCGATAGCAATCAGTGGTATTGCTTAAGAAAATGAGTCAATAAGCAGGGTTTTGCTTTGTTCATTCGTCTGCAGGTTTCAGTGGATGCATGCTATCTATAGATTTCCATTCAGCTCTGCGGGCTTTCCTTGTCATAACATTTCCATATCATTGCTGTTTTCCTTTGGTCATTTCATTACAAGTGATTCATGAAATGTGTAAAAGTTATTGATAAGCCTTCATTCTGTATCCTCAAGTCGTATTAGGAATGAAACACATAAGCAAACTCCCTGGCCAGCTTTAGATGTAATGTTTTATTGTGTGGATGTAATCTGTCCTCTCCTTACTATCCTTTACTAACCCTGTTCTGCCATTTCTCCCCTCTTCTGTCTGTCAGTCCCAGCCCTGTTGAATATTAGTTCCTCAGTTAGTGACAACTTTGCAAATATCAGCTGGATTCCGGGAAGCGAACAAACAGATTCAGAGTTTTATGTTGCATATATGAACAACCGTAAGCACATATTACTTCTCTGTCCATTTGTAGTCTATTTTGCAGTTATACATGTTTAAGGTGATTTTGAATGTATTGGTAACATCTGAGAAATCTGTATTCCATATTACCGTTACATGTTAGAAATGTTGTTCTGTGTTATTTCATCGAACTCTCTGTAAATAACCTTTAACCCTTGACCCTTCACCCCTCATGAGTACTAACCCTCCCTGATTGTGCACCTTATAGGTAAAGGTAACTGGAAGATCTCTGAGGCAGTTAACATCTCTAAGACTTTCCACATCATTGAGGGGCTGGAGCCTGGGACTGCGTACACTGTGCGCCTTATGACTAAGAACTGGGTTGATAATTCTAGTATTTTTGAAGATGTAATCAGGACCAGGGTTAAAGGTGAGCAGGGATGCAACAGGAAAAGAAGCAAACGCTCTCCCAACCCTCATTCAACTCCCCACCTACATAAGCACCACAACCAATTGAGTCTTATTGAGTACTAGGCCTATGCAGGTGCACCAATGTCCTTGAACGTGTCTCAAGGTATATCATGCATGGTTTTCTCAGTGTCAATAGGATTCCATTTTTTTTTTTTTTTTCTGTGTGACTTGGTGAAAGGAATCCTGTTTGAACAGCCTCCTCAGTTGATTAATTAGACAAGGGGATTAGCTGTTTAATATTAATACTGGTACATTTCCATTTCAGCGTAACCTGCTGCCTCTCTGCCTCTGCATCAGATAGACTTTGTCGATGTAAACATTCAATGAAGTGTCCTCATGAAAGGCAGAGTCAAGTCAATGTCAAAGAGTCATGTTGCTGTTTATTTTCCTCTCCTCAGGTCTGGCAAGCATCCATGGAGGAATCTCCACTCAGGGCTGGTTCATCGGGCTGATGTGTGCCGTGGCTCTCCTCACACTCATTGCGTTAATCGCCTGCTTTGTCAACAGAAATAAAGGAGGGAAATATTCTGGTAGGTGCTCACTCTCAAACACACACACACTGCACCTTATGAATGCTAACTAATCATTACACTAGGCATCATTATATTTCCATTTAGAGTCCTCGTTACAAAAGATAAATTATACATCACTCTGGACACCGTTATAGATATACTTAAGCTGATATATTATTGTTTGTAGAAATATACATCACACCACTGCTCAAAATGTCAACGCTGATATATTTAGAGTATAATGGGAACTTGAATTAATGGGAGCATATGCATTTGTATTCATAACATTTAAATACAGCATATTTGGAATATGCTGAATTTGAATAACAAAGCATACAATGCACAAAATACACAGAAGATATGCAAATGTTATGGTCACATGCCAGTGGTGGTGTGATGCCATAAGCACCAGCCAGGGTATCTTAATGCCAGTCCTGTCTGTGGGGGATGGGGGTTCTTTTACAGTCCCTTTCATCTTTATACACTTATTGGGCACCAGGTTCAGCTCAGCTAATTGCCCATCATGTCAGAAAGACAGTCTAAATCACAGGGCTTTGTTCTGTGTTGCCTTCATTAAACACTACCTCCTGCACTTTCACTGATAGTAAGCTTTCCACTTTGAAATTAGGATTCATTTGTTACTCATATTGTAAATGTTGCTGACATCAAGCACTAATGAGTATGTTGTTACTTCAGAATGTGAGAAAACTTGTAAGGTGTTTTAACAGAACATTATTGTGTCTTTATCAACCCTTACAATAAAACATTTGAAAAAACACTTTTTTTGCCCACATGAGTCAGACACAGGGTTTTCAGACACATGGTAGGTTCTACATGGATTTTTGACATGTATATTTTTCACGTTTATTTTTCACGTGACTCAGAAACATTTGACTCAGACACATTTCCCAACGATATTATACATTTCACTAGATCCCGGGTCTCCAATGGGAGAAGCCAATGTCTTGACCATTAAACCAAGCGGGTCAACACTTTTTCTCTTCCAATGTATATTTATTATACATTTATCACAATCTCTGAATATTGACTGTTCGATTCAGAATAGGGCAGTCAAATGTTTAACATTTTTATCAAGTTGCTAAAATTTAGCTGTAATTTAAGATTTTTAAAATAAAAAGCATTACAAGAATATTGACGTCTTGATTTTGTCCAAAGTAACGGTTAGCAAAATCAGCTAAATTGATAAAGCACACTTTCTTTAACCTCAATCTCAACTTGTTTTGACATCGCATTGTTGTTTTTAGCTGTATCGATTATGTATTTTGGATGATTCAGTGTATTTTGATTAATGCGATTAACTCTAACAGCCCTAATTCTAAATAATCTCTTTATATAGAAGTATCTGTTTACATTCATTCCAAAAGCAAACATATTCACACATTTTCAAATACATTAAAATCCCTTTTAGGCCTGTGTATTAAATGTAACAAAAACCAATGGACAGCTAACTATAACAGAAGACCAACGTAAGAAGAAGAGACACGCGCTTGCTGCAGTAATACACTGAATGCCTCTCCTTAGTGGTAGCAATTGTTTTTCATGTGAACTTTCAATTCTACATGTGAAAATGAGATTTACACGTGGAGTTTTCTTAGATGTGAAATTGCAAATGTGATTTTCTCATGTTAAAGGTCCAATGCATCCGTTTTTATCTCAATAGCAATCATTTATGGTTAACAATTAAATACTTTACTGTGATTGTTTTCAATTAAAATTGTCGAAAAGAAACAAGAATAGCCTCTTAGTAAAGAGCAATTTCTCAAGCAAGAATTTTGCTAGGACTGTCTGGAAGTGGTCTGAGTGGGAAGGGGAAAACTGAAAACTAGCTGTTATTGGCAGAGAGGTTTGGAACTCTCATTGGTCTAATAACTAATTTACCGTCTAGTGATGTCACCAGGCAGGCAAAAACTCCATCCCACCATAACAGGCTGATATTTCAGGCTGTCTTTTCAAACAGCTCTTACACTAAAATGGCATCATCATCATTTTCACAATTTCACAGTATTTTTCCAACCTCATAGTGTGGGAATATACACTGAGTGTACAAAACATTAGGAACATGCTTTTTCCATGACATAGACTGACCAGGTAAATCCAGGATAAATCTACTGTATGATCCCTTATTGATGCCACTTGTTAAATCCACTTCAATCAGTATAGATGAAGGGGAGGAGACCGGTTAAATAATGATTTTTAAGCCTTGAGACAATTGAGACATGGATTATGTATGTGTGCCATTCAGAGGGTGAATGGGCAAGACAAAAGATTAAGTGCCTTTAAACGGGGTTTGGTAGTAGGTTCCATGTGCACTGGTTTGAGTGTGTCAAGAACTGCAACGCTGCTGGGTTTTTCACGCTCAACAGTTTCCTGTGTGTATCAAGAATGGTCCACCACCCAAAGGACGTCCAGCCAACTTGACACAATTGTGGGAAGCATTGGAGTCAACATGGGCCAGCATCCCTGTGGAACGCTTTCGACAACTTGTAGAGTCCATGCCCCGAAGAATTTAGGATATTCTGAGGGCAAAAGGGGGTGCAACTCAATATTAGAAAGGTGTTCCTAATGTTTTTTACACTCAGTGGATATCAAACACAGGAAAATCACGTTTTTGACTGCACTGGGCCTTTAATGTTTTTCAAATGTGAACTTACAATTCACATGTGAGGTGAAAACATGTTATTCTCCTCACAGGTGAAAAGGTGGGTTTAACATATGAACTCTAAATTTAATACATGTGAAAATATGGTTTTGCATGTGAAATTTAAGCTCAACATGTGAAAGCAACCATTTCACCTGTTTTTTTTTGTAAGGGAAGGTAAAAAGTTGTTTATGGAATGTTATACTGTACTCATGGTACCCTAAAGAATGATCTTTCTCTCTGAGCAGTAAAGGAGAAAGAGGACCTCCACCCAGACCTTGAATCTCAGGGTATGCATGACGACACCTTCTGTGAATACAGGTAAATCACACCTCCAACCACCGTTACATCGAGAATTCAGACAACAGCTCATATTACATTGTACCCAATGTTTTGAATTGTATCACATCATATAATTATATCTCTGCATTTCTCCTGATTTAAAAGAAAACCCCACATGCATGAGCTATACACGGACCCTCACAGACATCCCTGTTCGAGACATGTGATGGGCTGAGTAACATGTAGGCTAAACATGTATGTGGTAAACAGCAACAAACACCCCTGTTGTTGTTGACGAATCAGTGATGTTGATGTGGTATCACCCTATAGGGTGCATTGTGATTAGGTAGATGTGTGGTGGTAGAGCTCAGCTCATTAGCAGGAACAGCCTCATTGTTCAGATGTTCCTAATTGTTTCTGAATGGAGCTCAATGAAGGATGGCTGCCTGGCCGCAACACAACCTAGCAGGAGGCTAAAACCAATCTGTGTAATTGAATGCAGCTCGTCTCTGGGGCAGTAATATCTGTGTTCTATTCATTAATCCTCCACTGGTTGGATTCAGAACACACTAACAGAGTGAAACTCAGAGACCCACACTCCACTCCAATCAGTAGAGTCTCACACTCAGAACCTAAATTGGTGTTATGAATCAAAAGTAGCCAAGACATCTTTCCTCATGTGGTCACAGTAAAGTTGAGAAGTAGAGTGGTGTGTATGGTCCTTAAAATATATGGCCCCCAATGTCAGACCACGGGAAAGCACATTTATCGTATTGAACACTATATCAGCCCGACATCCGCATCAATACCCTGTCTTCTTTAAATCACCCCATTCATTGTCACATACAGTACATTGATATACTGTACATGTATAGTTTAAGTACACTTGACATGAGTGCCCCTTACTAGTGCACATATTTGATCATTTTTTCTTCCATCAGTCAGTCAGAGGTAAACATTGCTGCCAAATCACCGAAGCTCTTCATTGAAGCTTTATGGGTTCAAACCTGCCTGTGTCCCTGTCCTCACCAGTAAAGCCTATTGAGTTAAGCCATGAGTGAAATTAGGTGGATTTTAAATCCCCTGTCTTTTTGCCATCGTGTTGTGACACAGTGACAACGATGAGAAGCCACTGAAGGGCAGCCAGCACTCTCTGAGCGGACAGATCAAAGCAGAGGACAGTGGGGACAGCCTGGTGGACTATGGGGATGAGGACGTCCAGTTCAACGAGGATGGCTCCTTTATCGGCGAGTACGCTGGACGCAAGGAAAAAAGGGTGTCCATGGAAGTCAAAGGAACCCCCAATCAGAGCAAAGCGTAAGAGAAAGGAAATGGGGCCATCATCCATCCTTAGGACAACACTTTCATCAGACTGGTGGAGGGGGGACATAAAGGAAGTACATGACATCATCCATACCAAGCACAATCTCATGTGAAATGTAATGTGTCATTGTCAGCTGCACTGCCATCTTCATTTTATAAAGCTTGTTCTTTTATCAAACTGTAACAGAATGCATCATTTCGAAATGTATATATTATTGTATGTGTGGAGTGTTTTATATTACTACAAATCAGTGAAAACCTTTGAGGCTTTTGCATTTTTTTGTCAAATGCAACAACTGTTTGTAATCCACTCAAATATAAAAGGAAGAAAATAAGAAAAGTCCAGTCCATTTTGCTCCTTGTGTTATACTGCCAGGTCTCTCATTCCCAGTCATCTTTTAGCAAACAACACGTGTTAGTGAGCATATGATGTCTGTCTTGTTCAGTTGAAGCAAATATTATTGACATTTTATATTTGAAATGCATTCATTAAATATGATTTTAATATGTGTACAAAAGTTGTTTATTAACTTATTTCCTGGTTTTATACATGACAAAATAATAACAAAATGGATGCCTCAGTTATATCACATGATGAAATACACAAAAGACCTAAGGCAGGTGGGTCATTCCACTGATTAGGTGCCTTTTGAGTAGTGTAACTTGGTCAACATTATATCTTTTTTAACCTAATTTCAATATTCTGTAATAAAGACCAAATGTTAAACTTAATAAAATAAAAAAATTATCGCATCTCAATAGGTTAAATAAATAAAAAATACTATAGTAAGTGCCTATTAAGTGCCAAATATAGTAACAGGGTTGACCGTAACAGGGTTGACGACTTAATCTTGAATCAGCCATAAATCCCCTTGTGACGGGGAATAGAAGCTTGATGTGTGCAACAGGGAAGGGCAATTGAATGCAAGCTTCACAAAAAATGTTTAATTATAGAAAAATGTCTAGCCTGTCTATCTGTAGATAACAGGGTTCATGTGTTATGCTCAACCCACTCAGTTTTACACCACAAAACACCAGAAACACCAGATTTTACACTATGATTTGACTATTATGTTCAATGTTTCTTTTGAAAAAAATATTTAAAAATGAATAGTTTCAATATATTAAAACGAGAGTTCAGTTCACATAACAGGGTTGACCTTAACATGAGGGACAGGTTATTTTTTTTAACCTTAAAATGAATCACTAATCACATTAAATATATAATCATTTTCAGAAATGAGTGTCAAAGCAACAAAATAACTAGGGCTTTACAATGATGGTGAAAACTTGGAGAAACGTTGGGGTTAAGTGGATTACAATCACAGAGGATGCACAGAGCAACATGAATTGTATGTCTATTCATATAAAAAAAATCGGATTTATTGAATTTTCCATGTGGTCTATATTACAGGCCACTTCATTTAATATAACAGGCAATTCAATATTTGTGCACAATTTCTACTTAATATATCCAAGGGACACAAAAGGCACTCATTTCATGGAACGACCCAGGTGCTCTGAGAACGCTCAGTTGATAACGGAAAGTACGTATACTGTTGTTGTAGACATTTCCGATACAATTTCCAAGGTGAAGCTGTGATTCAGTGGTTTTATGTCAGCTCGCTACAACATGCAGACAATTATCAACCGAGTTACCGCTTCATCTAGTTCATCAACATACCAATTAAAGCATGGCTTAATGTTGTTCCAATGTTCTTAGAACAGCCTTGCTCATTACAACTTGCATGCCATTGTAGACACTGCCATTCAACTCCAAAAATGAACCATAGTAGGCCTGTTTTAAAGTCAACCTAAACGTTAACATGATGATTGCCTTCTATTGCATCTTTGTACAAATACATGTACAGCAATTGCATGTGTTTCAGAATGTTTATGGATGTTTTTGATGTTATTAAATTGTTTCACTTTTCATAACCGTTGGCCATGGACTGACTGTCCGTCTTTAAACTGTATATAGAAAGAACACTTCAATTTAAATATAAACTATTTGTGCTTTGGGGTTTGTAATAAACTGAACATTCTGCAGAAAGCTTTGAAATGCCATTACAACATCCACTGGTTGGGATGCAGAACATGACTATGCCTATGTTACAATGTGGTAAGTGTTCTGTCTGATGAACATTTTGTTGTAAACAATGCATAACACCATTGGGACATGAATGGGTATACTTTGTGTGGGGCTGATTCTGTTAAGTTACTGTAATTTACTGCATATTTACAGTAATCACTCAATTACATTTTTACCTCACATTGTGCCAAATTGTGTTGGAGCTTCTCTAATTCATAGATTATAGAATGCATATGTTTCTTTAGCTTTGAGTTTAGATATGTATTGACGTCATCAGGTGTTAATTAGGTAGGGACCTTCCTGATAAAGCAATATCATATGCAGAAACAGATCACACTCCAATCATGACAGACTTGAAATCAGACGTCTGAGAACGTGTTTCCAGAGTTGTAAGAACAGTGGGGGGGGAAATGTATTTGAAAAGGTATCACTTCAAGGTCATGCTTGTTTCCAAGGATGTTAATGGATTGTTTAAAACAACTTGTGCCTCAGGAGACTAACATGGGAAATCAAAGGGGTGGGCTCAGTCAGTGGATAAAGGAGCAGGGCTATAATCACATAGATAAGCAGATAGCAGAGAGTAAAGTATCACACTGCTCAGGTCATGATGGGTTGCCCTGTTCCATTTGACTGAACTTTACAAGTCACATTTCCTCCTGTGTGAAGGACCACGTTTGTTCTTTAGGACTCAGCAGACAAAATAAATATGTTAAAGAAAACTGCTATATATATATATATTTTACAGTTTATACATGAGGAACAGCTATATTGGTCAAAGATATGGTCCCTTGGATGGTATGTTACGATAAAATGTTTTTAGCTGTGAATAACCCACTACATTGTGCTCCCTTACCTCTAGTGTAATGTAATTGACTGTAGGGACTAGGACTGAGCCCCTGTGCTCGTGTTACTGAGGCTACTGAGGAATGAATGCAGGAGAGGAGAGGTCAATGACTCAGAACACAAGACGAACCTTTAAGAGCCCCAGTGAAGCCATAGAGAATTTTCAGACAAAGCACTCCCACAGCGTTTCATCTAAATCACTAGGAAAGTTATAAATAATGTACAACTCGGGTCAATGTCAGCATTTGCATAGAAGACCCAGCGCAGGAACAAATGGCTGGATTAAGTAGAGGAGAAATGGGCTCTCCCACACTATAAATCCTTTCCTGTGTCACCAGTTCTAGTTTGTTTCAGATATCCAGGTCCCAGCCGCTGGAGGAACCGAATAAGCAACTTGGTCTCAGAGCATTTCATATTATTCTGTACAAAAATCTGTGATAATCCATTTAGTATGGTATGTAACGTGTAGTATGGTATGTACTAATTTGTGGATAATCATCACCTATTTCGTATGATATATTACGAATTACAATTTGTATTATATGTTACGAATTACAATTCGTATTATGTGTTACGAATTCTAGCTAGGTGGCTAACGTTAGCTAGCTGGCTAACGTTATCTAGGCTAGTGGTTAGGGTTAGGGTTAAGGTTAGGGTTAAGTTTAGGAGTTAGTTTAAAGGGTTAAGGTTAGGGTTAGGATTAGCTAAAAGGGTTAAGGTAAGGGGAAGGATTAGCTAACATGCTAAGTAGTTGCAAAGTAGCTAAAAAGTAGTAAAAGTTGCTAATTAGCTAAAATGTTGCTAGACGTTCACATTCTACATCCACCCATCCACCTTGTCCAACCACCCTGCTTTCATTTTTGCCTTAAGTACCCATCTGTCTTATGTAACCATACCAAACATATCATACTAATTTGAGTGTCCCAGATTTACATTCACTAGTCTATGAGACCGAGCTGGAATACAACAGGTGTAGACTTTACGTGAAATGTTTGCTTATTAGAGCCCTTCCTGAGTTAAAAATAATAATATGAAAAATAAAAATAGTAACACAAGAGGATTAAAATACACAAGAATGAAGCTATAAACAGGGAGTACCAGTACCATATCACTGTGCAGGGGTACGAGGTATTTGAGGTAGATACAGTGCATTCGGAAAGTATTTGGACCCCTTGACTTGTTAAACATTTTGTTACATTAAAGCCTTATTCTAAAATGGACAGATTTTTTTTTTCAGTCATCAATCTACACACAATACCCACTCAGTACTTTGTTGAAGTGCCTTTGGCAGCGATTACAGCCTCAAGTCTTCTTGGGTATAACACTACAAGCACACCTGTATTTGGGGAGTTTTCCCCATTCTTCTGTGCAGATCCTCTTAAGCTCTGTCAGGTTGGATGGGGAGTGTTGCTGCACAGCTATTTTCAGGTCTCTCCAGAGATGTTTGATCGGGGTTCATGTCCGGGCCACTCAAGGACTTGTCCCGAAGCTACTCCTGTGTTGTCTTGGCTGTGTGCTTAGGGTCATCTTTTCATTTGTATTTTTACCCCTTTTTCGTGATATCCAATTGGTAGTTACAGTCTTGTCCCATCGCTGCAACTCCCCTACAGACTCGGGAGAGGTGAAGGTTGAGAGCCATGCGTCCTCCAAAACACAATCCTGCCAAGCCGCACTGCTTCTTGACACACTGCTCCCTTAACCCGGAAGCCAGCCGCACCAATGTGTCAGAGGAAACACCGTACAGCTGGCGACTGAAGTCAGCTTGCAGGTGCCCAGCCCGCCACAAGGAGTCGCTAGAGCGCGATGCGACAAGGAAATCCTGGCCGGCCAAACCCTCTCCTAACGACACTGGGCCAATTGTAAGTCGCCTCATAGGTCTCCCGGTCACAGCCGGCTGTGACACAGCCTGGGATCGAACCCGGGTTTGTAGTGATGCCTCAAGCACTGCGATGCAGTGCCTTAGAACGCTGCACCACTCGGGAGATGTGCTCAGGGTAGTTGTCTTGTTGGAAGGTGAACCTTTGCCCCAGTCTGAGGTCCTGAGCGCTCTGTGGCAGGTTTTCATCAAGGATCTCTCTGTACTTTGCGCCGTTCATCTTTCCCTCGATCCTGACTAGTCTCCCAGTCCCTGCTGCTGAAAAACATCCCCACAGCATGATGCTGCCACCACCATGCTTCACCGTAGGGATGGTGCCAGGTTTCCTCCGCTTGGCATTCAGGCCAAAGAGTTCAATTTTGGTTTCATCAGACCAGATAATCTTGTTTCAGATGGTCTGAGAGTTCTGCAGAGATTGGTGGAGTGCTGCAGAGATGGTTGTCCTTCTGGAAGGTTCTCCCATCTCCACAGAGGAACTCTAGAGCTCTGTCTGAGTGACCATATGGTTCTTGGTCACCTCCCAGACCAAGGCCCTTCTCCCCCGATTGCTCAGTTTGGCCAGGCGGCCAGCTCTAGGGAGAGTCTTGGTGGTTCCAAACTTCTTCCATTTAAGAATGATGGAGTCCACTGTGTTCTTGGGGACCTTCAATGCTGCAGAAATGTTTTGGTACCCTTCCCCAGATCTGTGCCTCGACACCATCCTGTCTCGGAGCTCTACGGACAATTCCTTCGACCTCATTGCTTGGTGTTTGCTCTGACATGCACTGTCAACTGTGGGACCTTATATAGACAGGTGTGTGCCTTTCCAAATCATGTCCAATCAATTGAATTTACCACAGGTGGACTCCAATCAAGTTGTAGAAACATCTCAAGGATGATCAATTGAAACAGGATGCACCTGAGCTCAATTTCGAGTCTCATAGCAAAGGGTCTGAATACTTATGTAAATAAGGTATTTCTGTTTTTTACTTGTAACAAATGTACAAACATTTCTAAAAACCCGGTTTTCGCTTTGTCATTATGGGGTATCGTGTAGATTGATTTAATCAATTTTAGAATAAGGTTGTAAAGTAACAAAATGTGGGAAAAGTCAAGTGGTCTGAATACTTTCCGAATGCGCTGTGTCCATAACGGCAGGGTAAAGTGACTAGACATCAGGATAGAAAATAATAAGAGTAAACAGTAGCAGCAGAAATATGATGAGTAATATGAATGTATCTGTGTGTGTGCATGTGTGTGTGTGGCATTAATGTTGGCCCTGATTAATGTTTTTGCTGATATACTGGCATTCACATCATGAGGCCATTTTGTGAAATAATCAAGGACATTATGTAACTTTTTATACTTTGTTTCAGTTTAATTATATCTGTTCAAGCACACAGGAACAATTTGGAACAGTAGAAACTGTAAATGTCTTCCAGGGAAGGAGTAATCCTTTTCATCAAGTTTGCACAGTCATGGTTTAAATTGTCTTTGGGACTTGAAAGGACAGATATTTTGTTGCTTCATAATCTCCATTGACTTAAATGTAAAGTGTTGTTTTGAATTAAAGACCGAAACATTATCTGTGCCCAACAGGTTGATTTCCAAAGTAAATTTCCCAATTTGTCCCTAGCTAGTATACTTTCCGTATTTTCTGCATGAAAATGAACTCTTTCTGTCCCTCTTATTGTCTTAGCAAGAGTTAGTTACAGTCCATATTCATATTAATGTAAGGCAATCCTACATTACAAGTGTACTGAACTGAAGGGTGATTAATTTGGAGAGTGGCAAAAATGCTAATGCCTGTGCAGGCCTGTGACTCTCTCAAAGCTCTGATGCAGCTGGGACATCTAAGGGAATGATCTCAACACATCGTACTTACGCTGCAAATGAATTGATCCGCAGGTCTCTTGGAGCTGTCAGCAACTCACTTTGTATGAGGCCTTCATTCATCAACACATTTTCCATGTGAGCAGCAACTTTGGGGGGAGAAAAATAGAGCTAAACTTCTCTGCCCTGTCCTATTTGTTGCATAAATCCTGCTGCCAGCACTACTAGACATTTCAGGAAACAAATTATGGTCAGGGGGTGGTTAGAGCTTGCTGAGTGTCCCAGATGATTTGAAATGCATTTGGCCTGGCCTCTGAAAACTGTATTTCTGTTCTTCTGCTCTTCTGAGGGATATATAAAACGAAATTATTATATATGGTCCTGCGTGGCTCAATTGGTAGAACATGGTGCTTGCAATGTCAGGGTTGTGGGTTTGATTCCCGCCACACCAAAATGTATACACACACAATTGTCTGCTAAATGGTTTATTAGATATTTATTTATGCTGTAATCATATGTATGTACTGCAATACCATAAATCAATATTTTTGACCTAAATGGATTTAATCTTTATTATGAGAAGAAAGAAACTATCTGTGTAATGCAGGGGATGTCAAACTCATTCCATGGAGGGCCTAGTGTCTACTCGTTTTGGTTTTCCCTTTCAATTAAGAACTAGACAACCAGGTGAGGGGAGTTCCTTACTAATCAGTGAACTTAATTAATCAATCAAGTACAAGGGAGGAGCGAAATCCCGCAGACACTCGGCCCTCCGTGGAATGAGTTTGACAAGTGATGTAATGACTCAGGTCATTGAGGAGCAAAGTGTCTGCATTTCTGTCCAATTATCAACAGACCGGATGCATGCACTCTCACCTACAGACTTGGCATAAGCATTTGTGATGCTTCAGCCTTGACTTTCTAGTGGCCTTATAGTCTAACAGTAATGATGAGGTTAATGATGATTACAGAGACATCTCAAATATCTGGTACTGGCTCTTGATGGTGTGCAATCCAAACTGTTATAGAACAGAGTGGCTTTTTCAGTAAAACTGTTTTTGTAGTTGTAACAGAGTATTTTCCTGAAGCTTTGAATGCTAGGACTAGGACATCTTCCCAGTATTTCTGGAGAAGCTGTGAAATGACCAACCACATATTGACATATCTGGCACAGACAGATGCTGTACTGTGACTCTGGTAGCACTTATTTAGGAATGTAGGCTATGGAGGAACACATGGCACGGCAAAGGTAAATGGGTCCCCTTGGGAGGTGGACAGATGGGGGTATATCACACAACTAAGACGGCTCTGGGCTGCTCTGGAAACGGCCCAATACTGTCGCAGAGGTTTCTGCAGTTCAGACTGGGGTGACTCCGTGTTTGACCTGGAATCTCCATTCATCTCTGGCCAAGTCTCCACACATCACCCTCTACTGTATGTGCATCAGCTTGTCTGTCTGTGTGGTCTCATGAGCAGCACAGTGTCTGTCCTCTAGGCAGTGCTACAGTATGGCCTTCTCTACTAGAGAACAGGTTCCCCTAGCTTGTATAATCCATGGGTTTCATGAATGATAAAAAGTGTGAAATAAATTAATAAACAGCAACATTACCATACTACAGAGACCTTCCCTTATCACAAATGCACAAGTCGATGCATGCTTCGAATTGTATTTGCATATTTTACTCTCTTTGTCATTAAAACACAATGCAATCGAAAACATTTTTCCACACCCATTTACACTCCTGCCTTTATGTCTCTATGCAAGGCTCATATAGACTATCACCTGGAATAATGATGGATTTGCAGAATGTAATATGCACCCAATCAGGAATATGAATGACAGATACGTCCTCCTGAACATTAACATACTATTTGTGGAAATGATATGCAGGAACCTAAGAAATGCCCAAAGCTTAAGTGTAATAAAATAAATGCAATGTATTATTTATTGATATGCTGGGGCATTAAACAGCTTCTCGTTATTGTCCTAATGGTGTTCTGCAAATTCCTGCCCCTGGTCTTTAGGATTAGGATGATTCGTTTTGCCAGAGTACTTTACAGATGGATAAATTCCCACTGGTTTTTAAATGCAGAAATATTTTCTTTACATTCAAGTACACCATGTCCACCTAATTTTATGAGCAATATCAATGTTAAGTGGTTGCTGTGCTGAATACTGCCAGCGCATTTCAACTGCACAGTGTAATGCAGCACCAATGAATGTGTTTGACAAATGTGTTACCAAAAATGAATTCAAAATTGTTTCATTACATTGCAGTCAAAAGTAATAGTGATAATATATGGCCTAATAATTCAGTTGTCCATGATTTGTTTTCATCTGTTTGATTTACAACAGGAATGGATTGGAATAAGAAGTCAAGCTTCAATGAAACATGTAGTACAGCTCCAAGATACAACAAAGTGGGCTGGCCAAGTAAAGTGAAATACTATTATTCCGATAAATAGAGTTAATTGGGCAAAACAGGTCCCTGGTTTATTGAGCAATAAATCAATTTGGTCTGCTCTCAGAGCACCAAGTGCAACATAGCACTAAAAGTGAATACCCCAAATGCTTATGATATTTTTGAAGAGATTTAATTCATGTTGATCAAATATTGAAAAGCATTGACTGGTCCTACAAATACTTCAAAATATAATGATGTTAATAAATGCCAATATAATGATTTGAGAAACAAACTGAACCTCATTTTAGAAAAAACTGAACTCATTGAGTCAATGAGACTTTCACTTTTACCAACAAGTCATTTATGTCTCAATTGTATTACACAGTTATTTCTCTGCAAGGAGCCTAATCTAAGATGTTTTGTGCTGCTATATCTTGTGTGAGGAGAGACACAGCACTGCCCCTGGCATCTCAGAAGACCTATAGTATATAAAGTATGTCTAACAACTTAATAACTTGAGTGGACATCGCCTCCAGCTCACAGCTGGCGAGGAGACCGCAAGAGGAGTGGTTCTCTGTGATCCAATCAGGTGAGGAGGCTGTTGTCTGCTGTGTGCTGGGCTGTTCAGCCAGCCTCCTGCACAGGGCTCCCCACCAGGGGCTGTCGACCACGCCGGAGGAGCAGAGGCGCTTACACATTCTGACCACATTTTTTATACCAGTTACTCCAGCATAAACTGAGCCAAAGTCCTACTATGCCACTTTAAAAAGCCCTCACACTAGAGAGGATCAGCTTCAGAGCACTACAATCAAGGCAATCCGGCTCAATCACTTTGACTTTCAGGGGTAAAAATGTTTATATATATATATGTAAATTGCTATGAAAATGAGGGCTGACACAATAATCATATTATTCTGTAATCAACAGTTATGGACATTAACTGTGAACGGAAAATAATCATAATAATCATAATACATGAATTTGAGGGGGGAGAGGGGATTTCAATGTAATTTTCATGTAAATATAGTTTACCTGATAGCAGTTTTCATTTTTACAAGAAGAGGGTATAGTTTGTAATTTTCTCAACGAGGACAGCAATCATTTTACGAGCAGTATGGCACGGTCGAGAGGAAAAGCTTTATTTCCTAAAGTTCTAAGCGGTCAAAACCATTTGTTTTTGAGACGGTCAAAACCATTTGTTTTTGTCACCAAAGCAGTGTTGTATTCATTACAATTATGACAATAACCATGATAATGTGCATGACAATTAAATTAGAATTTCATGAATCTAGCACAATGTATCATTAAATCATTTAAATTACCAGCTTTGCTGTGAAGATTATCGCAGATCTATCCTTTCACATGGCTCTGAAAAACGGGTAGGCCTATATAACATGATGTTATAGCATGATGCAGAGATCGGCTCTGCGCTGGCCTGGTACATTCAACTACCAGAAGAACCAGACTGGAATACACCTACCTGGGTAAAAGTTATTTACCACAATCACCCCCTCAATGACATTGATCTTCTCTTCATGAGAGCTGGCTGCTGAGACTTATCTGATTTTCAGAGCAGATGATCAGTTTTCTCTGTATAATTGACCTGGATCCTATTGTTTACATTATTCTACCCCAGAGCTGGAGTCTTGGATCTCACTGCTTGACATCCGTCCCTGATTTTTTTTTTTGTCTGACTTGAATAACTTACTGCAAACATGAACCCCCCATTTTCTCCATAACACAATTTGTCCACATGATAAAGCGTGTATTTGTTAGTAACTCATTTTTGACCAAATGTGCAGTTACTGCTCTTTTGCTTGGTTGGGCAGAGTGCCCAGCTCATTATGTAACCTTCTCTGTTCTCTGACATGGCATTGATAACTGATTTAAGTAGACAACCATAATGCATAATTATGTACCACTAATCAATAGCCTAAATCGCCTCATACAGTATGACACAGACATAGACATGTAATAGTAATAACTGATCCACTCAGTATAGTCAGTGTGTTGAAAAGAAATCAAATGAAAGATTAATTTGTTTGTTTTGTTATTGTTGTTTTTTCTCCACACACTACCGCACTTGAACAAAGTGTGCTAAATCACACAACTTAGTGAAGAAAAGAGAGCCATCTGGTATTTAAATCATAGTCCATAGAGAAAGATGATGCAAATCAAGCAGGATTTTAAAGGTCTCCTTTGTTGTGAAAATATAATAAAATGTTTTCATCCAAGAGCGTTGGAGTTACAACTCATTGATAAGGTAATGATGTATACCACAGGTCAGGCAAGGAATGGAGGTAATGATGACAGTCATTTAACATATTTACTGGCATATACTGGACCACCATCTGCAATTTTATGGTTGATTTAGAATCGCTTTATCCTCTCTTTATAGCCAAGACTTCACAATCAATTGTGCATCAGGCATATTTTTATCATTACATGTCTGCTGAGCCAGCAGGGCTCATTTGATTGCCATAGTGAAATGCTTTTCTACCCTGCAATACAAATGTCCTCCATTTGAATTTATTTTTCAAAGGAAAAATCACTTTTTTATTGGCATGGCCAATACTCAACAACATTATTCTTCATTACTAGGTCATAAGCCATTGACCCCTTTATTTTTATATATTTTTTGGCACTGACTCTATGCACACTCACAGGACACTACACACTCACTCACACACACTCATACTGACACTCCAACACACACTCACACACTTCATTTGCTCACAAACACATAAGACGCACATATATTCATACTGACTCTAAACACACGTATACATATTCACCTACAATCATCATATACGCTGCTGCTACTCCTGATGCCTAGTCACCTTAACCCTATACATATCTACCCCTATCACTCCAGTATCCCTGCACATTATATGGTTTTGGCACTGACCCTGTATATAGATTACTTACTTTCTCGTGTTCTTCTTATTTCTATTTGTCATGTGTTTTTGTTCTACTTTACTTAATTTTTTTCTACTATACAGTATATTGGGTAACACTGCATTTTAAGGGGTCCTTATTACAGTGTAATTACATGTGTAATTACACTGTAACAAGTATGGTAGTTAACTGTAACAACCAATAGTTACACTGTAATAACAACATTGCGGTGTGTAGTTACGAAGGTGTAACAATGGACGCTTGTTACCATGCATGTTACAAATGTGCAGGTTTCCACTAAATTCACAAATGTAGTGTTTTGTTTCTTCTCAGCTCTATCCAATTGTAACAACTGTCACAAAGGTTGTGACCCCTCGTGGATGCGCTGGGTGTCCGAGAGATTATGCCCAATAGGCTCTAATTACTTACCCACGAATATGCACTGTTCAAAATAACTCAACGTTTTTGCTAGCACTTGACACCAAAATAAAGTGTACTATCTGGGTTAATTTGGTCATCCCAGTTGAGGAAAAACATTATTTCAAAGCATCGTACATGTAATGTTTGCCTAAGCACAATGTAATTACTAGGGGTTACACATGATTTAGATAGTTAAAATGAAGTGTATCTTGAGGGGTACTTACTTGTAATTAATGTGTACTTATACAGCACACTACCCATCCTGACAACCTGGCCCTCATTTCAAAGCTTCATTTGGGTCATATATTTATTATTGTAGATAATAACTCCGAAATTGTAATTGTTTCCAATGAATCATACATATAAACATTGACAAGAATAGGAAAACTGATTGGCAGCTTGTGAATAGCTTTGCATATGTATGCATTTTGCTTTCATATGTAGACTGCAGTATATTTATCTTTGTTGATGATATTTAGCATGTATTATTTTAACAAATGTTTTTGATTCAAAGCTGCAATGAAACTCACACAACAATTTCCTGACATTCATTTACATTTGCGTGACTTATAACATCTGAAATGCTCCAATATGTCCATAAACAACCAGGAGCAGCATGTTGTGGCAACTCGCCATTCTCACACCCTTCACACCCACTGAGCGACTGAGTGCTCCAGGAGATTAGGCACAGGAGTAGTATTTGTGCAGACAATAAGGCAGATTGAGAAAACAATGCCGAGGTGGTTATCAAAAACAGCCATTGTCGATAAAGGTGACTAAGAAGTCACAAATCTGAGATAAATGATCAATAGTTAATAAAACATTTCTCCAATCCAAGTTCCATTGCCTTTTTATAGTTGATGTCTAACAGCCAGTAAGTAATTCACACAGAATTAGCAAGACAATAAATGTGTTGAAGCAAAAGAGATTGAAATGTTTATGGATTTGAAATTGCTTAGTTTACTACAACACGTTTAATTCCATATGATTTTGATATGAAATATGAGCTAGAACTTCACCAAGTCTTCAAACACAATATGAAATTCAGCAGTAAAGTCAGTCACCAGAAAATGAGGTTGAGATTTTTCAGCATCTGCCAAAAAGGCATTTGATGACTGGAGAGGTTTTCAAACCATTTTGGACAATGGAGGACTTCAGTTCCAATATTGTGACAGAGGGCTTTAGACCTGAAACCAAGGCTACCGAGCATTATATTATATTGGTGCCATAAAAATACCTTTAGCAAGTGAGTGGGATTGTAACACCCCTTGAGTCATTGAGAATGTAGAGCTTCAAGGCCTATTTGGAGTAGTCCTGGTATACACTGTCTTACAGTCAAACCGTCATACAATTCTTTGAAATGTGTTTATTTTTTCTTCCTTAGAAAGACAAGGACAGGTTATGTTGAGCCTGGGTATTTAAGGTATAGCCAGACACATGGCCATGGAAGAGTGCTCTTCTGACTGAGAGGCCTGCTGTCTGTCTGCTTACCTTGGAGGCAATCTCTTTGACTGATATCCTTTGGACAATTTGCCTTCCCCAACAAATATGATCCTTTCCTCTTGAGATTCTCTGTCTTCTCATATTTTACAGTAGCTCCAACTTCACATCTTTGATCCTTCGCACAGATTGTACACTGCTCAAAAAAATAAAGGGAATACTTAAACAACACAATGTAACTCCAAGTCAATCACACTTCTGTGAAATCAAACTGTCCACTTAGGAAGCAACACTAATTGACATTAAATTTCACATGCTGTTGTGCAAATGGAATAGACAATAGGCAATTAGCAAGACACCCCCAATAAAGGACTGGTTTTGCAGGTGGTGACCACAGACCACTTTTCAGTTCCTATGCTTCCTGGCTGATGTTTTGGTCACTTTTGAATGCTGGCGGTGCTTTCACTCTAGTGGTAGCATGAGACGGAGTCTACAACCCACACAAGTGGCTCAGGTAGTGCAGCTCATCCAGGATTGCACATCAATGCGAGCTGTGGCAAGAAGGTTTGCTGTGTCTGTCAGCGTAGTGTCCAGAGCATGGAGGCGCTACCAGGAGACAAGCCAGTACATCAGGAGACGTGGAGGAGGCCGTAGGAGGGCAACAACCCAGCAGCAGGACTGCTACCTCCGCCTTTGTGCAAGGAGGAGCAGGAGGAGCACTGCCAGAGCCCTGCAAAATGACCTCCAGCAGGCCACAAATGTGCATGTGTCTGCTCAAACGGTCAGAAACAGACTCCATGAGGGTGGTATGAGGGCCCGACGTCCACAGGTGGGGGTTGTGCTTACAGCCCAACACCGTGCAGGACGTTTGGCATTTGCCAGAGAACACCAAGATTGGCAAATTCGCCACTGGCGCCCTGTGCTCTTCACAGATGAAAGCAGGTTCACACTGAGCACATGTGACAGACGTGACAGAG